AACTCGTAATGGCCATACCGCGTACGGAATGCCGTCTTAGGAACATCCTCCTCCCTGACCCTCAATTGGTGGTAACCCGACTTCAAGTCTATCTTAGAGAAGCAACAAGACCTCTTCAACTGGTCAAACAAATCATCTATGCGTGACATTAGGTACTTGTTCTTAACAGTACCTAGTTCAACTTTCGGTAATTAGTGCAAAGTCACAATGCACCATCTTTCTTCTTGGCAAAGAGAACCGGTGCTCTCCAAGGCGAAATACTAGGGCAAATAAAACCCTTATCTAACAATTCCTGGAGTTGAATCTTTAACTCACGCAACTTGGCAGGTGCAAATCTATACGGTGCCATAGAAATCGGCGTCGTGCCAAGCACTAACTCAATAGAGAATTTAATCTCACGATAATGTGGCAAACTAGTGAAATCCTCGGGAAAAACATCTGGGTATTCACAACCTACCCTCGGCAACTCAACTTGGACTTCATCACACTTACTACCCAAGAAGTTTTCAAGAAGATAACTAAGTTCACTCCGAGCACGCGGATCATACACTGGTGATAAAACTCTATCAGTTATGACCCCCATGAAATAAAAACAATCATCGCTCAAGATATATACAGTAACCCTTTAACGGTAATAATTTATGACAGCTCGATACGATGACAATCAATCCATACCCAAAATAGAATCAAAACTTAACATGTTAATCAACACAATTGCAAAAGGAAGTCGGTGACCAACAATCTCTATGTCACAACCTCGACACCCCTATTCCAAAACAATCTCACTACCAAAAGGTGACTCTACACTAAGTGGAGATGCTAACCGAGCCAATTCTAACCCCAATGCCGATGCAAATGCAAAAGAAATAAAATAGTGGGATGCACCCGTATTAATCAATACATTGGCAATAGAATTGCATAACAAGAAAGTACATCTCACAGCTGAACGTGTTGGCACTAAGTCCGGTGTGGTAACATCATACACACGCCCTGAAGGTCTCTGCTCCACCTACTCACTCATCGGAGAATACGTCTGATATACTGATTGAGCTGAAGAGGCTCCCTAATTGGCCCTCGAGGCCTATGCTGACTGTGCAGGCTGGTAGCTTTATGTCTGCCTCAAACCAGATGCACCAGATGTGCCACCTAACTGAGGGCAAAACCTGTTCAAGTGCCCTGAGCGCCCACACTAATAACAAGTGAGCGGCTGCCCTCTCCTCCAACTTTGGCTCTAAGAACGAGCCGCAGATAAAACTGACCATTGCCCTCCTCCCCTTTGCAGGCAAGCTAGAGACTTCTGATCTAACTGACCACACTTAAAGCAAGTGAAATCTCCCTGACCACTTCTCCCAGAACCCAAACTCAGTACTGAAAAAGTGGACCTCAACTGAGCTCCTTGGGATTGATGTAGGGTAGAAACCCTCTGCCTCTTACTATCCCCCTCAACATCCTGACTCCTCTTGGAGCCCCTCATCTACTACTCCTCCATTTACATCACGATCTCAAGATGAGCCGCCAATTCTACAAGTCACCTATAACCTCTAATCATTGAATTGGCTACCTCGAAAAGAAGTCTAGTCCTCAACATTTTCTCAAACTTCATATAACGGCGCTCCTTTGTCGCCATCAACTATGGTGCAAACTTGGAAAGGCTAGTAAAGGTTGCCTCAAACTCGGCTACAAGCATGTTGAGCAGCTTGAGCTTTGAGAATTGCTCCCTCAATTTCTTCTTAACCGTGGGAGGTAAAAACTTGTCTTGGAATGCATTGACAAAAGCCTCCCAAGTCACTCCAATGTTCCCACGCGCATACTTACACCATTGGCCCGCATCTCCCTTCAGTTGGAAGGATGCCAAGGTCACTCTCAATCTGTTGTCCTCAATGTCAAGCATCTCAAACATCTTCACTATCTGCTCTAACCACTCATCCGCCTTCAGTGGCTCCTTAGGGTCACCCAAAAACTCATCCGGATTCGGCCGGAAGAACTCTCGCTTCAGAAAAGACAGCCATGTCTCAGCAACATAGGTATGGACTTGATTCTCAACTCTGAGAATGTCTATGAATTCCCTCAACGCCCCGACCATCTCACCGGCCAAAACTTTCATGGCCTACTAGCCAACTGGTTCGGCTACATTGGTCTGACCAACCCTCTCCTCTTGCACCGGAATTTCATCCAGTAAAGGCACCTCATGCCTTCTAGGCCTACCACGCCTACCACGCCTACCACCACCATGACCACGTCTTGACATCCTAATGAAGGTAATAAAAGAGATTACCACATTTACAAATGTAAAGCTAACTCACTCGTGTTCTAATATGGTGGAAAATAGTAATTCACTTCTAGATTGCATTTGAATCCATTTGAAGCCAAGTGTTTCAGATCTCTAGATTCGTAGATCCGAATCCCGAGTCCGAGTGCCTTGGATCTCTAGGCTTGCTCAATACCCTTTCGAGTCCGGGCCCGAGTAAGTCTCTAAGTTCGTGGATCCGAACCCTTTCGAGGCTTAGAGCGATTCGGCCCGTTTGATGGCGATAAATCCGGGCCCACCAATCTTGGACTTGCGATAAATTCGGCCCACCAACCTTGGACTATTGGGCCTAATTATTTTAGTGGGCTCAAAATTAGCTCCTCTTACAGATGGAAATCCATTTGAACTTCAGTCCACATTATCGACTTGGATAGTTTTAGTGAGAGAGGCCACAACGAGCAAAGTTCTGGCTTCATGGATTTTGTAGACAAACTTCTACTTCTCTGCAATTCCCCAAATTTAAATAAGTTTCGCCTTCAATGTCATATGGGTACTATAATCCGTATCGTCTTAATTCATGGATTTGCACCGTAATCAAGCTTAATGTTAAAGAGCTTGTTCTTAATTTCAAAATTGATCAGCTTGTTGTGGAGTTGCCTCAAAGCCTATTTACCTCTGTCAATCTTGTGGTTTTGAAGTTAGTTGGTGATGTCTTTTTTGGGTTTCCTATGCAAGTTTTTTTGCCAAGTCTCAATGTCCTCCATCTTCATTCATTAATGTTTCTAGATGATGATTCTTTCCAAAACATCCTCTGTGGCTGCCCAGTCCTTCAAGAATTGGAGATAGAGAGGACTAATCCGGGCGATAACATAAAGACAGTATGCATTTGCTCATCTACTCTGAAGAAATTATGCATGTATAACAGCTTTTGTGTAACAAGTCTCCAACCTAGTGTCGTGATTAAAGCCTCAGTTCTCGAAATCTTTCAGCTTAATGATTTTGTGTCCAGTGTTTTTGATGTGGATGAACTCCCCTCCTTAGTTAAAGCAAATTTTATATTTTATTTTGAGAATCGCAGAAGTGAGGATCACTATAAAGTTGTAGTTGGGATGCTTGGAAAGATTTCTAATGTGCAGCATTTGGAATTAAGCAATGGCATCCCCAAGGTAATCAGCAGTTTAATGTTGTTATGGTCATAAGTTTATTAATACTCTTTTAAGTTGAGTTTAAATTCTCACTTAAAAAAATAATAACAATAAAATCTTTTTCAGGTTGTCATTGAAGCTTTTGACTACAATACACTGTTGTTTCATAATTTGACCCATTTGCACTTGTAAATTTACAATCTTGATTAGTCAATTGTGCTTGGCTTGCTTGGCCACATGCCTAATTTGAAAGTTTTAGTTTTTAACAAGTTCAAGGTGAGCTCATTTGTTGGAGATCATTTCATTTTTTATTATATATTTACTGGTATATTTGATGTTTTTTTTATGATTGTTATTTGGATTGCAAGGTCAGTGAGTTGTGTTTGTGGAGTGGGGAACCAGAGAGTGTGCCCAAATGTCTGTCACTCTGCGTAGAGGCAATTGAATTTAGTGGATTTGCAGGGTGTAAGGGGGAAATGAAGCTGGTAAGGTATCTTTTGGGGAATGCACTGGTTTTGAAGAAGCTAACTATTACATCTCGGACTAGGAATAAAAAAATAAAGGCAAATGTTCTAAAGTTTCCAAGAGGCTCAACCACATGTCAAATTAAACTGCTCTACCGTAGCTATTCCATGTACCCCAAAGTAGTGGGGTGGCTTTGATATTTGGCAAGATATAACAGCATCGGACCAAAAGCAGCAACATGAACTCTTATGGGATTGCATTTTGGTCTTAGGATTTCTAGTCACCAAGATAGCAAGAATGAACTTGTCTCGACACAGCATCGTAACAAGATAGATTGGATTAGAACCAACTGATATTATCAATAATGTCTGTCCTCTAGGATGTAGCCCTTGAAAGAGCTGGTAGTCGAGAAAAGACTGTAAGCTTCCCTTATGTTCTAATCTTGACTCTTGAGTAACGGTTTGATTTACATTCTCCTTGTATGAATGAATTTTGTTTGCTAATTCAGTTCGGACTATTTTGAAGAAGAGCTTTAGTTTTCTTTTTGCTAATTGACATGTAAATCTCCTCGGGCAGCTCTCAGGACTGAATGGATGAATGTTGAATGATCTTAAGACTTATTCTTGGGTTATTAGTGGTGCTGGTAACATTTATCTAAACATGGAATTGCAAATGGAATCAATTCAAGTGCAAGATGAGCAATTGATTGATATCTACAATAGCATGTGTGGAATGATTGAGGCACAAAGCTAGTTTAGCTGGTTGAGTTGTTAATACTAGTTAGTTTGCCTTTAAATCCCACCTTTATCCGGGTGGGATTGGATAAAATGAGTCGCATGCAATTGAATGGGCATGCAGCAGCGCTGGAATTCTTGATCCACTAGATAAATTTTGGTATTCATAGATATGTATTAATTATTATATTTTTTTTGTTTAAGGGGAAAAAGAACGAAAATAGTAAGTTTACAACAGTAAACAAATGTTACTGTCACCACTAACTATTTCATAGAACAATTGAGGAGATGTATTGATTGCAACGCAAATATTAGATCAACCTTGGACAAGATAACTATTTCCTGGATGAGAACAGAGAACATAGGGAACGAACATAAAGTTTCTACAAGAACCTGCGTAAGCAAAAGATATGACCAGTCGAGCACAAGAAATTGTCACTCGAGCGTGAAATACAAATTCTTAATAGTTTTTCAGACATAAGGCAAATGCTCAAGCGCAATAAGGGCCGCTCGAGCCAAGACCGCTTGAGCACAAGAAGCTTAGCTCGAGCGAAGAATACCAATTCTCAGTAGTTTTGCAAACCTGCAAAAGTACTGAAAGTTCACAAAGACCGCTCGAGTGCAAAACGTTACGCTCGAGCGTAGGATCAAAATGTTGGGCAACAACAACTTGTTCCCAACACAACAAAAATGACCCAAAAGCCAAACTCAAAGACTTAAAAGGGGAAACAAGACATGAATACCTATGTAAGACAATGAAATCCAAATCCAAAACATACCATGGGTTGGGTCTAAACCAGAGACGCTATAAGGTGGAACCGCTTCCTATGAGTCTAAGGGTGACTCTAGAGCACTCATGAAATATGATATAGAAATAAAACCAATCCACTTGTCGATTTTTTGAATTATCTAAAGAAAATGAAATTTATGTGTGAGACGTGTGCAATAATTAATTCGTGCTTGTGAGTGAGTTGGGCAAAAAATTCGTCAAGACCTGTTACAAGTGACAGTGTCAAAGAACAGACATCATAGATATGATAACAGGAAAGATAAAAATTGACTATTGTGAAGGATTTTATACACTAAAAACTGTTAGAGTCCTTCAACCATTAGAGAATTATGTGAAGGGAAATTTCTAAAATAATATAAACAAAATCAGTATATTGATTATCCTAAAAATAAAAAATAAAAAAAAAAAGGTCTTTAAAGACCCAATCAATATAACTATCTTGCGCTTATCCCTCACTCTGGAACTATCCCTCACTCATTATTGGAATCTGTCATTTTTCATGTGATCGTTGTCAACGGCACTGGCCTCAAGGAAATATTCTGAGTTCCTACTCCCCAATAGATAGACTCAAATGTAAAAACTCTCTCTCTCTCTCTCTCTCTCTCTCTCTCTCTCTCTCAACTTGTTTTTCTTATTCACAATTCAACATACAATGGTTGTTAAAGTTATTTGATTGTTGAAATTCATTTGGATTGTCCTTACTTTATTTATTTGGGATTTTAGTTTAATTTTTGAATAAATTACGTTTACACCTTTTGAGATTTGGATTTAATATTTATTACCTCTTGATGTTTGAAAAATTACACTGACTCTCTGTTATTGTAATTATTTAGACGAAATTAATGTTTGTATAAAAAAGATATTAAATTCATATATTCTTTTTTTTTCTTGCTTCTTTTTTTTTTTTCCCTTCTTTGCTTTGTTATTATTATTTTTCAATGTAATTTGTTCTGGTTTTCTATCAAGAGTTGTTACTTTTTATATAAATAGAGGGTTTTGTGAAATGAGATTATTAAACACAAGAGTGGAAATATAGGGTGTGTTTGGTTTGTGTTTTGAAACATGTTTTTGGAAGAAAATTTCTAAAAACATGTTTGGTTACTAATTTTTTCAAAAAAAAATTCAAAATTACTTCTCTCTCTATTACACATCAATCAATCACTTTTTTTCTCTCCTCTGTTATCATCAATCATTTTTTCTCTCACACATATCTACTTAACTACAACAAAAAATCAAATCATCTCAAATTCCTAAACTCCAAAACTATTTTCAAAATATAAAACCAAACAAACCAAACAAACCAAAAAAAACTCTCTCCCCAAATTTTTATCGTCAAAATACAAACCAAAAGCACCCATAATTTCTGTAATACAAAGTGATGGGTTGTAATCAAACCAAATCCCAGAGTGTCAGTGTAGTTTACCCTTAATTTTCTTACATCATCTTTTTCTAGCACTCTGAATAAGTTTGAAAACTCCCTATAATAGTTAAAAATTATTAAAAAAAGGATTTTAAAAAAATTAAAAAATTATACAAAAAATTCAAAGATTTCATTTTCTCTTTATTTTTTGAATTTTTTTTTAAAAAAATAATTTATAAATCGTTCTAAATATAAATTATTTTTTCACCTCATATTTTAATTAAATAGTCAAAAAATTACTATTAAAATATTCTTTTTTTCAAACCAATCCTCCGTTTGAATAGACGATTTGGTGAGAAAAAAAAAAAAAAAAATGATTTGGATGAATCATTATTGTTATTTGAATGAGTAGCTGAGAAATAATAAAAAATAGTACCCAAAAATAAAAAATAAAAAAAGGCTCTTTTTAGAACTGTGTTTTATTTTTCATCAAAAATAAAAAGATTGCTATAAATAAAAAAAAAAACGTAAATGAAACTTTTTTAAAATATTAAAATTACTCTTAAAAAAAAAAAAACATAAATTCCAATCTTTATCCTAGGGTTTCATATAAGTATTTCACTATGCTATTGAAGACGGTCCAACTATTGATTGCAAGACTCTGGCGTTCGCGTTCCTTTTTGCTGGAGAACTTACCTCTATTCACCAGGTTTTTGCTTTTTTGATTCAATAAACTTTTTATAACTATTTATCTACATATTATATTTGAACAAACAGAGTGCTGCTGCAAGGCTTACACTTCTTTTTTTAATTTTTTGGAAGCGAAATTTGTGTAGCTCGTATATCCCATTGTTGTATTTGTAATTTTATTTTGTTTTTTTTACTATTCATTTTTCTGCAATAATTTTTAGCTAAATGGATGAAACCCTAGCGAAATTTTCACTCTTGTTTTTTCGATTCACTTACCAGTGACTTTAATGATGGATCAATCCTCAACACTCAGTGACTCTAAAGAAAAAGATCGGATCAGCAATTTGCCAGACGCAATTCTTTCTCATATATTGTGTTTTATGCCCACGAAATATGCTGCCCGAACCAGCTTATTATCTACCAGATGGAAATCCTTTTGGACTTCAGTCCACATTATTGACTTAGACAGTTTTAGTAAGAGAGGCCACAACGAGCAAAGTTCTGGCTTCATGGATTTTGTAGACAGACTTTTGCTTCTCCGCAATTCCCCAAATTTAAATAAGTTTCACCTTCGATGTCGATTTGGGTACTATAATCCGTATCGTCTTAATTCATGGATTTGCACCGTAATCAAGCTTAATGTTAAAGAGCTTGTTCTTAATTTCGAAATTGATCAGCTTGTTGTTGAGTTGCCTCGAAGCCTATTTATCTCTGTCAATCTCGTGGTTTTGAAGTTAGCTGGTGACGTCTTTTTTCGGTTTCCTATGCCAGTTTTTTTGCCAAGTCTCAAGGTCCTCCATCTTCATTCATTGACGTTTCTAGATGATGATTCTTTCCAAAACATCCTCTCTGGCTGCCCAGTCCTTGAAGAATTGGACATACAGAGGACTAATCAGGACGATAACATAAAGACATTATGCATTTGCTCATCTACTCTGAAGAAATTATGTATGTATAACAGCTGTGTAAGACGTCTCCAACCTAGTGTCGTGATTAAAGCCCCAGTTCTCGAAATCTTTCAGCTTAATGATTTTGGGTCCAGTGTTTTTGATGTGGATGAACTCCCCTCCTTAGTTAAAGCCAATTTAACATTTTATTTTGAGAATCGCAGAAGTGAGGATTACTATAATGGTGTAGTTGGGATGCTTGGAAAGATTTCTAATGTGCAGCATTTGGAATTAAGCAATGGCATCCCCAAGGTAATTAGCAGTTTAATGTTATTATGGTCATAAGTTTATTAATACTCTTTTAAGTTGAGTTTAAATTCTCACTTAAAAAAATAATAATAATAAAATCTTTTTCAGGTTGTCATTAAAGCTTTTGACTACAATACACTGTTGTTTCATAATTTGACCCATTTGCGCTTGCAAATTTACGATATTCATTGGTCAATTTTGCTTGACTTGCTTGGCCACATGCCTAATTTGAAAGTTTTAGTTTTCAACAAGAACAAGGTGAGTTCATTTGTTAGAGATCATTTCAGTTTTTATTATTATATATTTACTGGTATATTTGATGTTTTTATTGTGATTATTTTTAGGGTCCCAAAAACTCGGAGTTGTGGAGTGGGGAACCCGAGAGTGTGCCCAAATGTCTATCACTTTGCCTGGAGGCAATTGAATTTAGTGGATTTGCAGCTTATGAGGGGGAAATGAAGCTGGTAAGGTATCTTTTGGGGAATGCAATGGTTTTGAAGAAGCTGACTATTACGTCTTGGACTAGGAATAAAAAAATAAAGGCAAATGTTCTGAAGTTTCCAAGAGGATCAAGCACATGTCAACTTAAATTGCTCTACTATAGCTATCCCATATACTGCAACCACAAGGTAGTGGAGTGGCTTTGATATTTGGCAGGATATAGCAGCACTGGACCAAAAGCAGCAACATGAACTCTTCTGGGATAGCATTTGCTTAATTATGCATGTGATTATGTGTTTGATATGAATTTGCAAGTTCAGTATGTGAATTATGTGATCTTAGAATTATATCTGTTAAATGTAGGAATATCTATTGCAATTACAACTTTGAATTGAAATTGAAAACCTTAGAGGCGCCAGAAACCAAAACTTATTTCATATCCGTGTTTAACATGATATTTAGAGCCTACTGTGCAATTTTATAAAATTACGATTCGTAATGATTAATTAAGTTAGTTAGCCTATGCATATATGTATATAGCTTTTTGAGTTTACCATTCTTGAGAACTGTTGCTAGAGAGTTAAAGAGAGAGGAAGAGGAAAAGCTAAGGATTTGAAAGAGATTTAAGGGGCAAACCCTAGATTACGGTTAAGGTTTGGAAATCTACTTAAAATTTTTGTATATAGCTCATCTTTTGCTTGAAATCAAGAGAAAATTAGAAATTTTGGATTAGGGTTTTGGTTTGTGTAATGGTTTGAACTAAATTCAAGAAATCTCTTCAACTTTGTGTGATTTGAGCTCAATCTTGTGATTTATGCATGAAATAAATTCTAGATGGTTCATACAACCAAGATTTGTTGAAAGATTCACCAAGTGTATATGTGTTTTGAGCTTGATCATGTAATTCATGAATGTATGAAAAAGATGAGATCATGAATTTGATGTTGAAGTAAGATTGATGTGTTTGAAGTGAAATTACACTTAAATCATGTTAGTATGTCATGTTTTTTAGCCAGCTTTGCATGGATTTGGGCTTGGAAATGAGTATGGAAGATTGCATTTTTGTGCTATTTTCAGACTGCATGTGTGTGCCCAGACCGCTCGAGGGGTCACAGGCTCCGCACGAGCGGACCCTGACTCGAACCAGAGATGTGTGTTCTGCTTGCTCGAGAGCGGAACATGAACTAGACTTAAGGATTGCTTTCTACTCACTCGAGCAACTTACACTTCCACAAGAGCGGAGCATGACCGCTAGAGCAGTTGGACCTGTCGCACAAGCGGCCAACAGGGGAGAAAATCTTGCTTTCTTGTGTTGACCTCTCTAACCTTCTGAACACGTTCTTGACTGTCAAGACACAAACCCATCCCTAAGGGTTTAGCATCGTAACCGGCCAGTAATCCGTGATTACCAAAGATCTGTTTAACAGTAATAACAATAGTACAGAGCAAGGGGCTGGCGGAAGCCAAACAGTAAATAAAAGATATCCAATGAGCTGTGAAAATCTGGATGAAAAAAAAAATTTATGGACTAGTCCACATTCATAACCATAAACATATATACATATCGGATACACATAACATACAGGTTAGGGATCCAATCCCTTTACCATAACTATACAGTCAAAAGTCTTAAACATTTATTACATTAATAGAGATCAAACGAGTGAGTCTAAGACACCCCAAAAATAGCCTTGGCTTGAATGTACTCGGAATCTCGAAGTGAGGCACAATGGTTGGTTTGACAAAACATGAGCTTCACTTGACACTCTTAACTTCGGTCCGGTACTTGGCCACCTACATACATATATAAACAGTGAACTAAAGGCCAATGAATAACAATTGTGTAAAGGGATTAAGAATGAATGTTCTTTCAGTAATTAAAATAGTCATTTGCATCAGTCAATCAGTTATTCAATCAGTGGCTCATATTTCATGCCATATCAGTCGATTAGGAATCATAACAATCATACGTGGTACATCCAATAGCAGAACAGTACAGTAGGTCTTAATAGACCGACAGTCAGTTGATGGCCATCAAACAGCAAACAGTAGTAGTTCCAAACATTGAAACTGACAGAGATCTCAGTAACAGTAGCAGTAACAGTACAGTAACAGTAAGTTGCTATGGATGCCACGAGTACAGTTCATAAAACAGGACAAACATTCATTCAGTAAACAATATCACTTTAGGAAGCAGTACAGTCGATCATTCAGAAAATAGTTATAATTGAACATATCTTTACAACATTGTTACTCACAGATTACTGGGCTATAGACAGGCTAATCAACGTCCTCGGGTGCCAACCCTGCACAGTTGCAGAACGAACACAGACTAAGTTACACACTTGGGATTAATAACTTAGCCCCTTAACTTGACTTGGTGTGGTTCTGTAACATTATCCTCATTAAGATGCCTTAAACATGGACTAGGAATGCCTAGGATGGAATGAGGATGCAAAAATATACTTTAAAACACTTTTCAAAATTTGCTGAAAACAGGGGTCTCGCTCAAGTGTGGCTTTCTCCGCTCGAGCAAGCTTACCGAAACAGAGAGGTCGCTCGAGCGTGAACTCTTTCGCTCGAGCGGTCTATAGACACCGTATTTTTGACCAACCTTAAGACTCAGAGGTCATCGATTGAGCGCTCGGTAATCGTGCATGTTTGAGCTCGTTTCGAGTTTCCAGAGTTTTTGGCTGAGAACCTTGCCTCCGAGCCTCTGAACTCTTTGTGCTTTGGCTCAGTTTGTGGACCGAACCTTGTTTTCTCTTCCCTTGAGGAATGGAGAGGTCTTGTAGACCATCCTTTTGTGGTTGTAGACCACTTTTTGCAGTCGTAGACCACTTTTCCCGCTTAGAGACTAGTTTCCGGTTTTCAGAGCCTTCGACCGCGCGCCTTGTCTCAGGACCGCTTAACGTTCTCCGTTTGACTTGGTTTTCGAACCATGCCTTGTTGCCTTGGCCTAGAGGGCCACTGTGGTCTGGGAGATCACTTTTGGTGCCCGTAGACTAGTTTTCGAGGCTCCCGGCTGCACGTCTTGCCTCTCGGACTCTTGTCTTGCATCCCATTTGGTTTGTTTTTGGTAGAAATCTTGTTTTTCTTGTTTGGAAGGCGGTACAAGGGTGGGAGACCAGTTCTTCCCCTTGGAGACCACTTTCCTTCCTACCAGCCAGTTTTCTGGTCGGCCAACTGGTTTTCTTGGTCTTTGGACCACCTTTTCTGGTCGGCCACTATACCACTGCCTTGCTTTCATGCTGCAGACCATCTCCCCCCCATGGCCAACCACTTTCTTCCCTGGCCTACCACTTCCACTGGTCGGCCGACCAGTGTAAGTAGCTGGCCGACCACTTCAAGTGGCAGCTTTCCATCACCTTTTTGGAGATATTTTTAGGCCAACTGTAACAGCTGCAGGGCACAAAGTGATCCTTCATACACGTGTATAGAGGGATGGTTTTAGGCCTAAGCTTGTCCAACAAGCTTAACCTTTGGTTCTCTATAAAAGAGAACCTCCCCCCTCCTCCTCCAGGTTCAGAAAAAAAAGGGCTGAGAATTATACATACATCTTTGTACCTATCTTGCATCTTCTCTTCATAATTGTGCTTGAAAGTGCCTTTTTATCATACTATTGCACACAAATAGGGATGGCAATCTGAAACCGGCCCGACGGGGATCCCCGATCCCGACCCCGATTTAAGCGGTTTTTCCCCGAAAAATACCCCCGACGGGGAGGTGACGGTATTTGAAAATCAATCCCCGATCTGTCACGGGCCGGGGACGGTGATCAGTGTTTGATCCCCGGCCCGGCCCGATCCCCGGCCCCGGCCCCGGCCCCGGCCCCATCCCCGAATTTCCCCGAAATGAAATTACTTTTATACCCTTTATATGTATATATATAACAAACCTCTTAATTATATGCATATATATATATATATATATAATATCAATGATACTAATTCTTTCTGACTCTACTCTATCTCCTAACCCTATCGTTCTCTTCTCTCTGGCCCCGAGTCCCCGACCCCCTCTCTCTCTCCACTTCGTCTCTCTCTATTCTATCTTCCCTCTCTCTCTTTCAGTAGATCGAAGGGACAGTCGGCGTCGGAGGCGATAACGAAGGGACAGTCGGCGTCGGAGGCGATAACGAAGGGACAGTCGGCGTCGGAGGCGATAACGAAGGGACAGTCGGCGTCGGAGGCGATAACGAAGGGACAGTCGGCGTCGGAGGCGATAACGAAGGGACAGTCGGCGTCGGAGGCGATAACGAAGGGACAGTCGGCGTCGGAGGCAGTCGACGTCGGAGGGAAGTAGTCCGATCGTGTACAGGGGGAAGCGTCGGCGTCGGAGGTAGATCTCAGATCTGTTTGTGACACAGATCTCTCTCTTTCTCTCGTCCACTCTCTCTCTCTCTCTCTCTCTCTCTCTCTCTGTGACCCCGATTTAATCTGTTTGATGTTGGTGTTGATGATTCGGTTGATGATGATTCTCTTGTTGTTATCTCTCTGTCTCTGTGATATTTTTGTGGATCTGTCCATTTTTATATGTGTTGATGATGATTCTCTTGTTGTTGTTGTTGATGATGGGGGTGTTGAAACAGATTTGGGGGCGGGGAATTTTCGGGGTCGGGGAAACCCGATCCCCGGTAGGGACGGGGATGGGGAGGGTGGTAGGTTCCCCGTCGGGGATCGGGGCCGGGGCCGGGGATATTTTCACAATCGGGGATCGGGGACGGGGAGGGTGATCCCCGGCCCCGCCCCGCCCCGTTGCCATTCCTACACACAAACACACACTCAAACACCATCCTATTGTTGCTAAGGCACTTTGAGATTGCTTTCGGAGTTTTTGGACTAGTTTTGATCCAAAATAGCTGCTGGAGTTGTTGCTCTAAAGTGGTTCTATAAGGGTGAGCTTCTAACCTTTTAATCCCTTGTTTTGGTTTAAGCTTTCGGACATATTTGCATGGTGTTTTAGGCTTAGCTTCCTACAGCAAAAAGTTCTGATTTTGCATGCTTAACATGTTTGTTTAAGGTCTCTTTTGTGTTGGGGGTAGTCTACCCCCTCTTAAGCCTTGTTTGGCTTTATTTTGTACCATCCTTTTAAACTATTGGGACCACCTTGTTTTGGCCTTCTCACCACTGAAACTCAGAGGAATTTTAGTGGTGGAAATGGTGTTTTGAGGTCCCAAATAGGAGAGGGTCATCCCCTCTCCTTGTATTCTGTATGCTTACTTCATTTG